TGATTCCAACCTTCATGGATGACTTTGAAGGGTTCAAGACTTTAGCAGAGGAAGGAATTGTACCTGTGGTGAAAATAGCAAAAGAACTAGATTTAGCAGTGGAGGCTGAAGATGTGACTGAATTGTTGCAATGTCATGATAAAACCAATGAGGAATTACCTTTTATGGATGAGCAAAGAAAGTAGTTTCTTGATATGGAATCTACTTCTGGTGAAGATGCCGTGAACATTGTTGAAATGACAACACAGGATTTGAAGTATTACATAAACTTAGTTGAAAAAGCAGTGGCAGAGTTTGAGAGCACTTTCTCCAATTTTTTTTTCTTGTAAGTTTCCTAGTCTATTTTTTAGAAGATTTTAAAATTAATGAATCATAGTCGTATATATCGTGAGGGTACATGTGATATTTTGGTACATGTATATAATGTGCAATGATCTAATCAGGCATATAGTGATATTCAACACTTTAAGCATTTATTTTTCCTTTTGCTGCTATCATTACAATTCTTCTCTTCTAGCTATGGTGAAAAATACAATAAAGTATTGTGAACTATAATTTCCCTTCTCTGCCTTGAAATACTGGGACTTATTTCTTCCATCTACTTGTACTTTTGTACCCATTAACCAATTTCTATTCATCCTTACTCCTGTTTCAAAGTAACTTATGTTACAGAAATTGAAGTGTGCCAGTGAGTAAAGGTGCTTGCTGAGAACAAAGGGACTAGGAAATGAATAATGGAAAAGGTATTTATTAAACCAGCTATAACCCTGTGATCATTTCTAGAAAATAAAAGTACAATGTAAGGAAAATTCTTTTTTCATTGTGATATGAGTATATTTAAGTATATTTAACTACTTTTTAAATCACTCCCAGTATGCCTACATGTAATAGCTTAAGATGTGCTAATGACTTAATCTGATATCTCGTTATATTTCAGGAGCTAAGCTACCTGATTTCAATTGCAGAGTGTGACTCAGTTAGAAGAGGAAAGGACACCACTCAAAGATGGATAAATGAACTTCATATCCTCTTTACAGGAGAGGTTAGCATGTTTTTCAATGAATAAAGAATAATTGCATCACATTAGCAGGAAGCATACATTTTATATTGTCTTCATTTGAAGGTTAAATGTTGGTAAAAGAGGTGCATATGGATTTGAAGTTTACAAGGAGAGTACTGTGCTAGCTTTGTACTGTCTCACCTGAAGGATCTGGAAATATTATTCCCAGAATTTGCTTTCCAGTATTGTTCTGGATTAGGTTGAAAAAAAAAATTGTGCAAGATTGGTGTGAGGCTCCAGGAGCACACATGTTGCTCCTGATCTCAGAGCCCATCTTATTGTTGACTTAAAATTCCTCCACCTCCCACCAGATCTCCTCCTTCAGCTTCTCTTTCCCTTGGGCCGAGTATCCAGATAGCATGATGGCAAATACCACTGCTTCTCTTAAAAGTCACCCAACACTATGAGACTGAAGGAGGGAAAAGACAGACAAATTTCAGTTTGCTCCTGTGGATTTCACTGTCCTCATGGGTTCCGGTATGACCTTACAAGTCACAGTTTGTGCATGCTGTTGTGAATATCTAACTTTCCTTTCGAAATGTTCGTCTAGCTGACCTGTAGTAAATTCAGGCTCAATACTGGATACAAAGAAAACAGCTTTGCTTAGCAGCAAGAGTACATTGTGCATTGTATCACAGAAATGTCTGGCATGCTTAAAATGACTTTATTTTACTCATAAAAAATGTGCAGCCACAGAATTTAACAAGGGAGACAAAAGCTTTGCATCAATGGGATAGAAAATAAGATTATCAGGACAACTCTAGGACACATGATCTAGTACGTACAATTCTGCTCGCGAAGCCATCCTCTTCAGAATTGAGTAAAAAAACCTCAGTGGCAGATTTTTGAAAGTATATGTTATTCCTATTATAATTTCATAAAACATAAATATCCGAATAGCTTCTGAAAATCCACCAGCTCCCGCAATTGCACGAGGTCATACCTTTATGATTAACCTCTTATTCTACATCACTCATGGTGGTTCTGCTTCTCTGACTGTAACCTAATTGACACAAAACCTAAGGGGAAAGGGCTCAGAAAATGGTTTTAAAGCGATTCCAGGTAACTAGACCCAGATTACTGCAATGAGCATCTTTAATTAAACCACCAGTTTATTGCAGGGCGGTTTTCTTTCAACTTTACACAATTTCTGTATGATCTATTTTAAATCAAAAATTCAAGTATTAGAAGAAGTTGTTCTGAACACCTGTTCCCAAATGAAATATAAGGAGGTTTTACTTAGAATTCAATATTGTGATCCAGACCACAGATTGAGTCCACAAACCACAGTCACTGCCATTTCTTGCCTGGGATCTGCAGATGTGCATTTCAGCTTGGCTCCTGCTGCACGGGGTGGGGGTGCTTTGTCTTTTTGAGCTCTGGGGTTTTTGTTTTGCCTTCACTATCTCTTCAAACACTGTGCGTTCTGCTAGAGCACAGTAATATTTTGCAGAATCTTCTAGCCTTAAGGCTGAAATGGTCAAGTCGATGGACTTAACTTCTTTCCGGAAGCTAACAGAATAGCGACCATTGTTTGCATTGCCACCATCAGAATCCTGGCGAAGAAGGAAAATCATCTCTTTGCTGGGAAGTTGCTTGTACCAAAAAATATAGTAATAACTCCAGCTTGTTTCATACCGGCAGTTCAGGGTGACCGCCCGCCCCTCTGTCGTGGATCTGGCTGACTGGGATTGAGTAACTTTCTGGGCCACAGATCCTGTGGGAAAAATCAGAAAACAGAGCTACTTTCTGATGTAGTGAATAAAATATTATAAAAATTAGACTAATTTAAGACCCAAAGACAAATCAAATTGAAATCCTAGTATGCTTGTTTTTCTCTAATTTCCCCTTTTCTCCTAGGGTCCATGAGAAGTTCCTATGTGCAACCCTCTCATCCTTAACATTCTTACCCATGTTTGGAACCATCCATACCAGAGTAGCTGAAGGCCAGGAATATCCACAGCAGGCTGAAGGGCGGCATGTGGCATGTATCCCCCTGCACAAATGTGCTTCGTGCCACCTGAAGCTCCAGGTTCACTGTCTCTCAGTGACCAGCAGTGTTTATGTGTAGTGCCTGTGTTCTGATGTCACTTCCCTTAACAGGAAATTTGGTTTCTCATGTTCATAGTCACGTGGTCTATGCACAGAGAAGAGAAACTGTGACTGGCTAACCCCAAATCTTTACTTTGTCTACTTGTCCTTTCTTGGTTATTAAGATAGATAGTACGTAGAGAAGAGGCATGGAAAAAGCAATTCATATTGTAGGCTGGAGTTGCAGAGAACTGCAGTTGAACCAGTTGATTTCATTCAGTGGAATAATTTTGCAGGTTTGCTTAAAGTAGAATTTATAATGAGCCATGTACTTTCTTTATTATCTACTTACTGGTGATTCATTCAGCATATATGTACTTTCCTTCATCCAGAATAGAATCAAATTTCAAAGGATAATACTCACAGATCTTTAACTTTGTTTGTGATAGGCAGTCCTATCCTTAACAATTACTGCATCTTTCTTCCTCCTTACTGAGTTCCGGAGCTCTATTTACCTTCTACAATAAATAAAGCCACTTCAAAATCAAATGGTAACATCAGTCCTTCTGACGTTCAGAGGCTAATCCGTTATTTATGTTTTTATAAAATTGTAACAGGAAAAAAATGTAATCCTTTCAAAATCTGACATTGACTTTTATTTATTAGTCTAGGATCGTTATATACAGTCCTGGTGCCTTCAAAGTAGCATTGTACTTATTTAGATCGTGTATCTTAGAATTGTCCTGATGTCACATTTTCTATCATAATCATCCAAAGTATTCTATGACCCTTGTTAAAATATGTGGCTTTGCATTCTTTATTTGTCAAATAAATTCATCATTTGCATGCTGGACCTCTCTCTGATTTTATGCCATAATCTACTCTTACTGAGTGGGAGAGGCTGCAAGCACTTTGGGCATGTCAATACCACTGAAGTTGGTAGCTGAATTTTTTTCTGTTTTTGCGTGATTGTGTGGAGTATATCTGTTAATCTTTTATGTGGTTTCATTGTCTTAATGGATGAATTATCATAAAGTGACCAAGACACAACTAGAAAAGAAAAAACAGACAGGTCTCTAAAAGATTTCCAGCTCTTTGATACAGATCAAAATAACATACCAATGAGTGGGGCAGGGAAGAGTTTCTCATTATTTGAGATATGTGCTCTGCTGTTCCATTTCACCTGAGTGCCAACAGGCAGCCATGCTCTGATTTTCAATTATTTGTACCTAAGCAGATGGAGACAATGAATGTCCATAGCAGCCTAGGAAGCAGCATAATGACAGGATTCCTACCTGTTGAAATGGCCCTGTTGTATATCCTGACAGTAGAGGTGCAGAGTCCCTCAGATGCAATTAGCAGCTGCCTGTGAAATACGGTTTCTGTTTGGGTCAAGTCTGAATGTGCTATAACACTGAGGTTTAGAAATTGAACCCACGCTATTCATAGCTTTGCCCTTTCTTGTGAAGTAATTAACAAATGACAAATGATTATATCTAGGAAAGGAAAAGTATACAACTTAATGTTGAATGAAGTATTAGGAAATTAATCATTTAATATTTCAAAGTTTATATAATCTGTAATAAATCTTAGGGGCTTATCTGAAAGAAATTTATTGTGAATCATGGCTTTAATTGCAAATATTCATTCTTGTTTTGATTGTTCTCTTGTCCTCGGCTGATGATTAGGTGAAATGTGCTCACCAATCCTTGGCTTTAATGTAGGAGAGAAATTAGAAGTTATCAGTTCTGTTCCTTCCAACTTACGCGTGAAACCATCAGAACTTTTAACTGCATAACAGCAAAGTATCTGCTCAGACAAACGACATTTTAAAAGGCTTCTGATTTCTATAATCTGTGCCATTGTGTACTAGACTATCAATAGTATCAGCAGTAAAGACCTATTATTTATAATACAACTTTTTGCTTAATTTTATTAGAAGTTCCATGGACCCTCTAAATTCCCCCAAATATTCAGCCATGTTGTAGCCATGAGTATATGTGTGCTGTTTGGTGCAATTCTTCAATTCTTCTTATAGCTACCAGGAAGGAAATCTTCTCATGAAATGCCTTTTTATTAGTGAAAATATTTAAAACTATTAATAATATAAATTTTGTCCCAAATAAAAATATTTCCCACTTTGTATATTGAAAGAATGGAGATATTTTTGCAATTTGTGCTTAAGCTTCATCTGGTGAAGGAGTTTGTGTCAAACTACCAGACTGTAAGAAAATGTATTTTTGGGGAGGCCACCCAATAAAGAAACCCAAATGAGAATAATCGAGTTACTCTTTGGTAAAATCTCATCAGACTCTCACTAGTTCCTTTATGGAAATCCCCAAGTTCCCATACCAAGTGAAGCCACAGAATCACAGTTGAGGCTCCCAGATCTCCCCAATTCTTCCTCCCTCTTACATTTTTGGTAATGGCCCTCCTCTGATGCTGACCACGTATTCCCTCCTAGCCAATGCATTCTGTTTTATCCTTGTGTATTTTAGTCCAGTGAAAGCTACTGCAAGCAGACATAAATACTATTTCAAATGTCTTCACCAATTTTTCAAACTACTAGAAAAGAAAGTGAAACAAACTTTGAGAGCTAGGGGGAGTCCATATACTGACATCTTGTGGGTACATCTCCCTTTCCTAAGAAACAACTGATTTGATATTTTTTTCATTTTCTCTTTTTATGTATTGAAAAAGTTTGCATTGTGGACTGGAGGAGGGAGCCTCTGGTTTGTTTATTTCAGGTTGAACACCTTCTTATATATAAATTAGAGATATATTTCCAGTGGAATTGTTATTGGCATTTATGGGGCCTACCAAAACACACCTGGCAAAGTCATAGGTTGGAAAGGTCCCATTCTCCATTCTGTGGCCTGGTGGAGACAATAAAAACTGTGATTGTTATTATACATTGAAAACAATTTTTTTATTTTATGAAATAATTCTCATATGGAGAAGTACAGAAAATTATATAGCAGACACCTTTGTACCCGGCAATAAGAATAAACATATAAATGAATGTTTAATTTTGCTATTTTCTCTCAGCCATTTCAGAGAGGGCTAAAATAGTAACCCTTGCTCCTTTTTCTCATTTCCAAGTAGACATAATTCTTAGGAAGATTCCTTGCATGTCTTTTTAAATTTAACTCTTAGATATATGCTTCATAAACAATATACTGTATTTGTATTTTGAGATTTCTCATTAATGGTTCATATCATTCTGACAATTGCTTTTACACCCAATATTTTCTTTTTATGAGTCATTTAAGAAAATTTATGTTGAACCAGTTCTTTGCTTGTAACAGCTACATACTTTCATTTTATGAGTAAACAATTATTTTTTCTTCCAAAAATAATTATATTTATTACTTTCAAACAGTGTTGCAGTGAACATCCTTGTAAATACCTCGTTATTCACATATTTTACTATCTTCCATGGAGATAGCAGGAATTGGTATTGCTGGATTTTTTAACATATGTATTTCCTTAACTAGTTTAGGCAAATTGTTCTTCAAAGTGAATGTATAAATTATTTTTTGTGTGGTTTTTTATCTCCATCTGGAAAAATATAGTAGCCTTATCTCTGTATATTCTTATCAACACATAATGTTATCAGACATTTTAACTTTTATTGCTGTGACAGAAATGAAAAAGTAATTTCTTATAATTTGATTTCCTAGAGTACTGTGAAAGTTGATGCTTTACATATTCACTGACCATTCCTACTTCATGTTCTTGAATTGCCTTTTATATCCTTATCTGGTTTATTTTGTATGTTTTCTGACTTATTTTTAAGAACTCCCTATGTAACCTTTCTAACACTTTCTTGGTTATATGGTTTACGAATCCCTCCCAGCATGTGCCTTGTTGTTTAATTTGTAGTGGGCACACAGCAGGTTAAAAATTTCCCTTCTATGACTAATTCCTAGAGATTTCTATTTCTGTTTATCAAATAATTTTAATGATTATTAATTTAGTTTTTCTATTTCTTCCAGAGCTATGTTTATGTAGTATATTTTTTATGAAATTGTTCTTTCCTTAAAATTGAAAATGTATTGGCTCAAATTGCACATAACATTCTCTTAATACATTTTTAAATTTCTACTGTATCTCTAGACATGTCTGTCTTTTAATCTCTCTTATCATTGTTTTTATTAGCTTCCTATTATTGCGGTAACAAATTCCCACAAACTTGGTGACCTAAAACAACAGAAGTACATTCTTTTGCGATTCCAGAGGTCATAAATCCAGTCCAGTTTCACTGGGATAAAATCAAGGTGTCAGCAGGTCTGAGTTCCTTCTGGTAGCTATAGGGAATAATCTGTTTTCTTGCCTTTTCCAACTTCAAGGATGTCCTTGTTTTCTCATCACATTGCTTTTTTTTTACTCTGACTCTACTGTCTCAATTTTATAAGATTTCTGATTACATGGGGTCCACTTGGGTAATCCAGAATAATCTCCCCATTTCAAGATCCTTGAACTAATCAACTGACTACTTTGTTACCACAGCCCTAAGAAACTATTATGCCATGTAAAGCAATATATTAGCAGACTGAGGATTATGGCATGGACACTTTGGGGGACCATTATCTAGGCATCACATTGCTTAATTACTGTCTATTTTTTCCATTATCAACATTGCAAAATACTTATTTTGTATAGTTCTTCAAAAATATTCATCATTGGATTTTCCTTTTTATTGCTTAGTTCTGTTTCCTATTTGATTAATTTCTGTACTTATCTTCATTTTTTGACTGAAGTATAATTTATGTAGTGAAATAAATGAGTCATAAGTATAGAGTTAGAGGAGTTTCAAAAATTGCAAATAGCCTTGTAAACCACACCACTGTCAAGGAATAGGACATTTTTTCCTTCACCCCACCAAAATCCCTTGTGTCCCACCCAAACAATTCTCAATACACTATGCTTTCTTTCACCATACATTAGTTTGTCTATTTTAAAATTTCACATAAATGGGCGCAAACAGCATATACCATTACCACTTTGTGTCTGACAATTTTGCTAGGAAATATATGATTGAGGTTTGTTCTTATTGTTATATGTATCAGTGGTTTAGATCATTTTACTGCTGATTGATATTCCATTGAATGTATATAGCACAATTTATTTAATCTCTTCTTTGTGGACATTTTTTCTAGTTATGGCTACTATGACATAGCTACTGTGAACATTCTTGCACAGGTTTTTTTGTGGATGGACTTATGGTTTCATTTCCCTTGGGTAAATGCCTAGAAGTGGAGTCATTGGGTCATGGGAGAAGTGTATTTAGTTTTGTGAAAATTTACCTAAGTGATTGCCCAGTTATTTTCCAACCACCAATGTCTAAGAAGCTGGTTGTTTCACATGCTTACTTTCTTTTTGAAATAATGTTAAATTTACATAGAAGTTGCAAAAACAGTGCAGAATTCTCTTGCATCTTCACCCAGCTGTCTACAATGACAGTGTGTTACATAACCATAGTTATGCACCATTATCATTATGTATCAGTATCAAAATCAGAAAATTTATATTGATACAGTAGTATTAATTAGCCACAGGCTTTATTCAGATTCACCTGATTTTACAAGAAGGCTTTTTTTTTTTTTTTTTTTTGAGACAGAGTCTCACTGTGTTGCCCGGGCTAGAGTGCCGTGGCTCATCTTAGCTCACAGCAACCTCAAACTCCTGGGCTCAAGCGATCCTCCTGCCTCAGCCTCCGAGTAGCTGGGACTACAGGCATGTGCCACCATGCCTGGCTAATTTTTTCTATATATATTTTTAGTTGTCCAGATAATTTCTTTCTATTTTTAGTAGAGACGGGGTCTCACTCTTGCTCAGGCTGGTCTTGAACTCCTGACCTTGAGCGATCCACCCGCCTCGGCCTCCCAGAGTGCCAGGATTACAGGCGTGAGCCACCGCGCCTGGCCGATCCCTGTAGTTTTTGCATTTCGAGGATGTTTTATAAGTGGAATCATACATTGTGTAAAATTTGAGCTTGACTTTTTTAACTCAACATAACACTTCAGTTTGATTCAAGTTGTTGCATGTTCTCAATAGTCCATTGGTTTTTTTATTGATGAATAGTATTCTATTGTATGGATGTGTACGAAGGTATATTTACCCAATCAGCCAATGAAGCATGAAGTTTTATACTGTGATATGTAAGAAATACAAGAATATACCACAATTTGTTTTTCTATTCACCAATAAATGGATAAGATAGCCAATAAACAAAAGTCCCTGTGTGAATATATGTTTTGTTTATTTGTTTGTTTGTTTATATATTTAAGACAGGGTCTCATTCATCACCCGAGTTAGAATGCAATTGTGCAATAATTGCTCACTGTAGCCTCAAACTTCTTGTTTCAAGTCATCCTCCCACCTCAGCCTACTGAGTAGGTGGGACTATAGGCAGTTGGAAACACACACAGCTAACCCTTATTTTTATTTTTTGTAGAGAGGGGGTCTCGCTGTGTTGTCCAGAATGATCTCAAACTCCTGGCTTCAACCAATCCTCCTGCCTTGGGAAATATTATTCCCAGAATTTGCTTCCCACTATTGTTCTGGGTTAGGTTGAAGAAAAGAATTGTGCAAGATTGGTGTGAGGCTACAGGAGTACACATGTTGCTCCTAATCTGATAGCCCATCTTATTGTTAACTTTAAATTCCTTTGCATTCCAGCAGATCTCCTTCAGCTTCTCTTTTTCTTTGGCCAAGTACCAGGTAACACGATGGCAAATGCCACTGCTTCTCTTGAAAGTCACCCCCACTAGGAGACTGAAGGAGGGAAGAGACAGACAAATTTTAGGTTGGTTTTGTGGGTAACAATTGTCCTCAAGGGTTCCCGTATGTCCTTATAAGTCACAATGTCTGCATGCTCTTGTCCACATCCAACTTTCCTTCTCAAGTGTTAGTGTAGCTGAACTGTAGTAAATTCTGGCTCAATACAAGATGCAAAGATAGCTGCTTTGCATTGGAATAGAAGTAGTTTGTGCTTGTGTCACAGAGATGTCAGGCATGCTTATCTTTATGTTACATATAAAAAATGCACAGCCACAGAATTTAACAAGGGAGAATGTATGCTTTGGATCAATGGGATAGAAAATGTGATTATCGGGACAATTCAACCCAGATATCTCCTATAAGCATCTTTAAGGGAAACTGCCACTATACATTATTGTGGAGCAGGTTTTTTCAACTTTAGATAACTTTACACATTTTCTGTAAGATCAATTTTAAGTCAAAAGTTCAAGTATTAGAAGAAAGTTGTTCTGAACACCTGTTCTCAAATGAGATATAAGGAGCTATTCTTAGAATTAAATCTTCATATCCAGACAACAGATTGAGTCCACAGACCACAGTCACTACCATTTCTTGCCTGGGATATGCAGATGTGCATTTCGGCTTGGCCTTTGCTGCACGGGGTGGAGATGCTTTCTCTTACTGAGCTCTGGGGTTTTTGTTTTGCCTTTACTATCACTTCAAACACTGTGAGTCCCAGAGAGCACAGAAATACTTTGCTGAATCTTCCAGCCGTAAGGCTGAAATGGTCAGGTTGATGGACTTAGCTTCTTTCCGGAAGTTGACAGAATAGCGACCATCCTTTGCGTTCTGACTAGTAGAACCCTGGCGAAGAAGGAAAATCATCTCTTTGCTGGGAAGTTGCTTGTACCAGCAAATAAAATATGTAGTGGAGCTTGTTTCATACTGGCAGTTCAGGGTGACCGCCTGTCCCTCTGTCATGGATGTGGTTGCCTGGTATTGAGTAACTTTCTGGGCCACAGTGGATCCTGTGGGAAAAATCAGAAAACGGAGCTCATCCTCTCAGGTAGTAAATAAAATATTGTAAAAATTAGACTAATTTAAGACCCAAAGACAAACCAAATTGAAATCCTAGTATGCTTGCTTTTCTCTAATTTCCCCTTTCCTCCTCAAGTGCATGAGAAGTTCCACAGGCCTGTATGCAACCCTCTCTTCCTTAACATTCTTACCCATGTTTGGAACCATCCATACCAGAGTAGCTGAAGGCCAGGAATACCCACAGCAGGCTCAAGGGCGGCATGTGGCATGTATCCCCCTGCACAACTGTGCTTCGTGCCACCTCAAGCTCCAGGTTCACTGTCTCTGAGTGCCCAGAAATGTTTATGTGTAGTTCCTGTGTTCTGATGTCACTTCCCTTAACAGGAAATTTGGTTTCTCCTGTTCATAGTCACGTGGTCTATGCACAGAGGGGAGAAATGGTGTCTGGCTAACCTCAAATCTTTACTTTGTCTTCTTGTCCTTTCTTGGTCATTAAGGTAGATAGTACCTGGAGAAGAGGCATGAGAAAAGTAATGCATATTGAAGATTGGAGCTGTAGGGAACTGAAGTTGAACCCGTTGATGTATGTTGATTACATTCAGTGGAATAATTTTGCATGTCTGCTTGAAGTAGAATTTATAATGAGCCATGGACCCTCTTTATTATCTACTTACTGTTCATTCATTCAGCATATATGTACATCCTTGATCCGGAATCTAATGAAATTTAAAAGAATATTCCTCACATTCACTGACTTTGTTTGTGATAGGCAGTCCTATCCTAAACCTTTACTACATCTTTCTTCCTTCTTACTGAGTTCTAGGGATCTACTTACACGCTACAATAAATAAAGCCACTTCAAAATCGAGTGGTAAAAATAAGTCCTGACTTTCAAAAGTTATTTATTTGTGTTTTTATAAAACTATAACAGGAATAAAATATAATTCTTTGAAAGTCTGATATTGAGTTTGATTTATAGACTAAGATCAGGTCCCGGTCCCTTCACAAGTAGCATTGAACTTATTTAGATCATGTGTCCTAGAATTTTCTTGATATCACATTTTCTATCCCAGTGATCCAAAGTATTCAGTCGCCCTTGTTAAATTCTGTGGCTGCACATTTTTTCATATGTAAAATAAAGTCGTGATAAGCATGCTGGATCTTTCTGTGATATAATGTCATTATCTACTCTTACAGAATGGGATAGGATCCAAGCTCTGTGAGCATGTCAAACCACTGTAGTTGGTGGCTGAACTTTTTGTGTGCTTTCATGTAATTCTGTGGATTTTAGCTGTTAATCTTTTATGTGGTTTCATTGTCTTAATGCATGAATTAATGTAAAGTGACCAAGAGAAAACTAGAAAACACAGTACAGACAAGGTCTCTAAAACATTTCCAGTTCTTTGATACAGATCAAAATAACGTATCAATGAGTGGTGCAGGGAAGAGTTCCCAGTTTTTGTTTTTTTTTTGAGACAGAGTCTCACTGTGTTGCCCGGGCTAGAGTGCCGTGGCGTCATCTTAGCTCACAGCAACCTCAAACTCGTGGGCTCAAGTGATCCTCCTGCCTCAGCCTCCTGAGTAGCTGGGACAACAGGCATGCGCCACCATGCCCCGCTAATTTTTTCTATATATTTTTAGTTGTCCAATTAATTTCTTTCTATTTTTAGTAGAGACAGGGCCTCGCTCTTGCTCAGGCTGGTTTCGAACTCCTGAGCTCAAACAATCCGCCCGCCTCGGCCTCCCAGAGAGCTAGGATTACAGGCGTGAGCCACCGCGCCCGGCCTCCCAGTTTTTGAGACATCTGTTCCTCTGTCTTGTTTTATCTCTGAGTGCCACCAGGCAGCCACACTCATTTGCAATTATTTGTACCTAAGCAGAAGGAGACCATGAACGCCCACAACAGCCTGGGAAGCAGCGTAATGGCAGGATTCCCTCCTGTTGAAAGAGCTCTGCTGTGCACCCTGACAGTAAAGGTGCAGGGACCTTGGGGTGCAATTAGCAGCAGGGACCGAAAAATGTGGTTTTTGGGTGGGTCAGTTTTGAATGTGCTATGACACTGAGTTTGGGAAATTGGACCCATCCTAAACATTGTTTTGCCTTTTTTTGTGATTCAATTAACAAATGATTGTATCTGTTAAAGGACAAACATAAAACTTAATGTTGAATGAAGTATTAGGAGATTAACAATTTAAAATTTCAAAGTTTAGTCAATCATTCTGCACTAAATCTTAGGGGCTTATCTGAAACAAATTTATTATGAATCATGGCTATGATTACAATTATTCATTCTCGTTTTGACTGTTCCCCTGGCTCCAACCAATTCTTAGGTGAAGTGTGCTCAGCAATGCTTGGCTTCAATACAGGAGACAAACCAGAAGTCATCACCTCCCTTCCTTCCTACTTACCCATCAGACCATGCGAACTTGTAACTTCTTACCAACAAAGCATGTGCTCAAATGAGATTTGAAAAGGCTTCCAAGTTTTATAATCTTTCCAACTGTGTACTAGAGCATAAGTAGGAGAAGCAGTAAAGGCCTACTATTTAGAATAGAACTCTTTGCTAAATTTTATGGGAAGTTCCATTGATGCTCTAAATTTAAATATTCAGCCATGTTGTAGCCTGGAATACATGTGTGTTGTTTGTGCCATTTTACAATTCTTATTGTAGGTATCAGGAAGACAACATTTCTCATAAAATGCTGTTTTATCAGTGAAAATATTCAAAACTATTAATAGAATAAATGTTATCTACAATAAAAATATTTGCCTCTTTGGACATTGAAAGAATGAAGATAATATTCCAATTTATGCTGAAACTTCATCTGGTGTAGGAGTTTGTGTCAAACTACCAAACTGCAACAAATATATTTTTGTTTGGTCACCCATAAAGTAACCCCAGTAAGAGTAATTGAGTTATTCTCTAGTCAACTGTGGTCAGACTCTCCCCTGTTCCCTTATGGAAATCCCCAAGCTCTCATGCCAAATGAAGCCACAGATTCACGATTGAGGTTCCCAGATCTCCCCAGTTTTGTCCCTTCTACATTCTTGGTAATGGTCCTCCTCTGATCCTGGCCATGAAGTCCAACCTAAGCACTGTCTTCTGCTTTATTCTTGCATATTTCAGTTCTATGAAAGCTACTGCAAGCAGACATAAATACTATTCCAAAGTTCTCCCATTTTTCAAACTACCAGAAAAGAAAGTGAAACAAATTTTGAGGGCTAGGGGAGTTCATATACTGACATCTTGTGGGCACATCTCCCAATTGCTAGGACATAACTGATGTGATTTTTTTTCATTTTCTCTTTTTATGCATTGAAAAAGTTTGCGTTGTGGACTGGAGGAGGGAGCCTCTGGTTTGTTTATTTCAGGTTGAACATCCTTCGATTTTTGAATTAGAAGTTTTCTCCAGTGGAATTTTTATTGCCATTTATGTGACCTACCAGCACACACCTCGCAAAGTCATGTGTAGTAAGGGTCCCATTCTCCATTCTGTGGACTGGTGAAGAATAGTGAAAACTGTAATTGTTGCTATACATTAAATTTGTTTTTTATTTATGAAATAATTTTCATGTGGAAAACTACAGAAAATTATATATCACATATCTTTTTCTCTGACAACCAGAATAAACATAAACAAATGTTTCATTTTGCTATTTTCTACAGATATTTTCCTCTCTCCTTTCTCTCTCTGAAACATTTCAGACAGTGATAAAATAGTAACTGTTGATTCTTCTTTTTTTTTTTTTCAAAGCAGTAGTCACTCTTGGGGAGATTCCATGCATGTCTTTTTAAATTTAACTCTTAGATATGTATATTACAAAACAGCATGTTATAGTGTATGCATTCTGTGTGCATTTCTTTTTAACAGTTTCACTTTCCATTTTAAAATAAAATTGAAAAAACTGAAATTAAAATAAAACAGTATAAAACCACGGTTTCATTGTCAAATGAAATAAAACTAAAAACATAAATTCACGACTAAACACTCTCACTTTCTTGGCCCCCTCCCCGCCAGGCCGGGCGAGACTCCGACTGGATCTAGGCCGCGCTGCTTCCTCTCTGTCCGGCTTGTCCCCACCTGCAGCCAGCAAGCCACGCTGCTTCCTCTCTTGTCTCCGCTGTCGGCCACACGGGCTTATCTGCCGTCGCTTCAATTTTCCAAGGGACGCTTCATCGTCCGCGTTCTCCACTCGTCATTATCAACCCCGGATCCACCAGTGTGGGTTCCCCGGGTGCTCCTGGGAGGGCGATTCCTGGATCTCGAGGTGTGTGACCTGCCTGCTGTGTATTTGCCCGACCTCCAGTGTGGTGGCTCCAGTCCACACGCTCAGCCCCCGCGGCTCTGCGTCCCCCGCACGTGGCCTGGTCAGACACTTACTCCTCGGCCAGCGCGTCCCACGCGGGGTCGGGGCACGTCCGTGCATAGCAGAGGAGTATGGTCCCTCTGCCTTCCCAGCCTGTGTGTTTGCCATGCAGTACGTATCAACACGACAATCGCTTTTTAGATGCAACATTTTATTTTTTTAAAATTCATCTACAAATATATGTGTGGAACCCCTTCTTTACTTGTAATAGCTATGTTCTTCCATTGTATCAATAAACCATTATTTTTTAGCCCACTATTAATTATACTTACTATTTTTAAGCGGTGTTGCAGTGAGCATCCTTACAAATGCCTCCTAGTTCACATATTTTAATATCCTTCATGAAGATATCAGGAATTAGTATTGCTGGATTTTTAAACATGTGTCTTTTCTTTACCAGTTTAGGCAAATTGTTCTCCTAAGTGGATGTATAGATTGTTCTCTGTGTGGTTCTTTTTCTCAACCTGGGAAAGTATAGTAGCTTTATCTCCATATATTCTTGTCAATGCATAATGTTATCAGACATTTTAATTTTTATTGTTGTGATAGAATTTCATTTTTTTTTGAGTGAACAAATATTTATTGCTTTCTGAAAGGTGCCAGGAACAGACTAGCCAGTGAGTCTTAGTTCTTATGGAATTTAGAATTCAGAGGAGGAAACAGACATAAAATAAATAATTATAAATGGCCAAATCCTAGGCACTGATGTCTTCTGTTTCCATGTGGTTTTTATGTGACTTTTCTTTTCTTTTTTTTTTTATTTCAGCGTATTACAGGGGTACAAATGTTTAGGTTACATATATTGCTCTTGCCCCACCTGAGTCAGAGCTTTAAGAATGTCCATCCACAGACAGTGCACACCGCACCCATTACCTCTGTATATACCCATCCCCTCTTCCCCCCTCCCATCTGCCAAACACCTGATGAATGTTATTACTATATATGCACTTTAGAGTTGATCAGTTAATACCAATTTGATGGTGAGTACATCTGGTGCTATCTAAGCATGGTTTTGTATCTGGGTTCTCAGCTCTGTTTCATTGATCTATGTCTCTGTTCTTGTGCCAGTACCATGCTGTTTGAGTTACTATAACTTTGCAGTGTAGCTTGAAGTCTGGAAAATTGATGACTCCCAATTTGTTCTTGTTGCTTAAGATTACTTTTGCTATACAGGGTCTTTTCTGGTTCCATACAAAGTGTATAATTATTTTATCTAGATCTGCAAAAAATGATGTTCGTATTTTAATAGGGATTGCATGGAATCTGTAGATCACTTTGGGTAGTACAGACATTGTAACAATGTTAATTCTGCCGATCCATGAACATGGTATGGTTTTCTATCTGTTTACATCCTCTGCTATTTCCTTCCTCAGTGTTTCTCAGTTCTCCCTGTAGAGGTCTTTCACCTCCTTAGTTAAATATATTCCTAGGTATTTTATTTTCTTTGTTGCTATTGCGAAGGGTATTGAGTCTTTGATTTGGTCTCAGTTTGACTGTTGTTGGCATATAGGAATGCTACTGATTTGTATACATTGATTTTGTAACCTGAGACTTTGCCGAATTTGTTTCTCAATTCCAGTAGTCTCATGGCAGAATCTTTGGGGTTTTCTAGATAGAAGACTATATCATCAGCAAGGGGCAATAGTTTGACCTCTTCTCCTATTTGGATGCCCTGGATTTCCTTCTCTTGTCTGATTGCTCTGGCTAGGACTTCCAGCACTATGTTGAATAGAAACAGTGATAGAGGGTAACCTTGTCTGGCTCCAGTTCTAAGCAGGAAT